ATCACAGACCAACAGACTCAGGAACAGGTTTTACAGCAGGGCAATAGCCCTACTGAATGCACACTGACCCTAGATTGTACTGTTATTGTTTTATTTTTAATTTTTATTTTATTTCATTTTTATCTTTAACGTGTCAGTCACTTTAACCTTTTATCATATTGATATTATCGTCTTTGCTTTGTATTCTAGTGTGGCATTGGGCACTGCAGTGGGACAACACCACAATTTCGTTGCACTATTGTTCGAAGTATGACTGTGCAATGACAATAAAGATTATCTTATCTTATCTTATCTTATCTTATCTTATCTTATCTTATCTTATCTCTCCATGAAGGTAATCTTAATAGGTTATTTTATGGAGACTATTCAGTGCTTTAGATCACATTCATACACTGATGGGACACACACCAGAGGCATTACAGAGTTCTATGTTGTGACCTGGGACACCTCAACATGTAACTGTATAGTGCTGGAATCAAACCCCCAATTGTCTCTTTAGAAGCTGACTCCCATAACCACTCAGTCACCGCCGCCCTATACACTTTAGAAATGAAGATAGGCAAATTTAAACCAGTTTTCCATAGCAATATTTTTTTTATAAGTGCAGTTTTATTTTTAATATGTTGAAAATCTAAGCAACATAATTGGAAGCCTTTGACTCATGAGAAAACCCCACAAGCATTCCAAGACCTTTTTAAGTCCCCTTTCTAAATATTTCTCACTAGTTGTAGCCCCATGAGATTCTACTTAAAAAGCTCTGATTGTTGTCTAGATTTTACACTACCTCCCGTTTTATCATTATTTTTTTCCCCAAAGGTTTTTAAAAGGGGCTAGTATTGTTGAGACATCTTCTTGTCCAATTTGGAATAATTTAGCTTTCTTGGGGAGCTTTTATCAAAAGCCTTAAAGGAGCAGCGCCATTTCACTGAGATGTCACTGGTGATAAAAGAAGACTAGATATTTTCAGGTTGTTATGTTGTCACACAATTACTCTAATTACAAACACCTGCTGATGACAGGCACAAGCTGATATTGATTAGAAAACACATGGAGCATTGCTTTGGTCCAATACTGCCCCCTGCTTTATGTGCTCAGCTTGGTACTGCACCACAGTTTAACTAGATACTGCATAACGGTAACATAATGACCCCCGCACGCACAAACGCACCAAAACTCAGAAGTCTTTATTCCTAATAAATGTCATGCTACAAGGTGCATTCCAAAATTGTAGTGGTTTGGGTGGGGGTCTTTTTTTGTGTGTGTGTGTGGGACCTGATGTATAGCCCCTCATCAGAGCTAAACAACAAAATAAATCTGAAGCTTCTATGTTGAACAGTTTCTGAGTTATAAGCATTTTTCCATGTCTTGACACCCTCTTTTTGAAAGGAGCCCCCTCCTCAAATATGGGATCCATCATAAAACTGTTGGCTGGTGCAGTGTAGGTCAGACTCATCTACAGTCCTGACTCATTTCATGTTGATCAGTGCAGCTGTTTTTGTGCTACAGTTGACCAAAAATCACTCAACAAAAAATAAAAACTAAAAAAGGTAAAAAATAAACGAACAGTATGAAAACAACATGACTCCTGCTTACACTTCGCGTGCGGGGGTCATAATAATTATATTTATTCTCAGTTATTGCAGTGATTACAATATTGATATGTATGTAATTTGATATGATCAAATAAAAATCTGTTTTGTCAAATTTTTTCGAAGATTAATTTGATTTCAAATTTGAAATTGTATAAAATTCCATCATTTTTTCCACAGAATTGAATGATTCCATATTTTTTCTCTCTGCTTGGTCAAAAAAAGTAACAGTTACTGGCTACCACAGTTTCTCTTGATTTCTTTTGGTGTTTCTTAAAGTCAGAAAGTTGCCATTTGAAGTGACTTTAGTTTTGTATCATGTCTGTGATCTGCTTGTTTTCTCCTAAATTAAACAGCAGAATGAAGATCGTCTGAGGCCAGGGCATGTAGCTGCCACAGAACGAAGGAATCCTGGAACCAACTTTAAATAAGTTAATTTTCATAATGCATTAATGTGGGAAACCCAGAGCACATGTTCATGTTGTGATTCTGTCCTGTGGTTGAAGCAGTTTTCTAAGAAGTGTTTCATTAAATTAAAAACTAAAAGTAAAGCTGTCTCCTTGTCCAGCTAGCTGTGATATTAAGAGAATATTACAAATACAAACATTTAATGTAGGTAAATTTGGTTAAAACTACTAAAAATACTGTGTGAGACTGAAAACAATTTGTTTTATTTGATTTTTTGATGTTTTAAAGTTAATAAGTATTGATTTTGGAAGTGATAGAAAAATATTTCAGGCATAAGTTGGTATAATTTATAGAAAAACATTAAATGACTCATACTTAGATATCTACATTTATATTTTTGTATGATGAACTTGAGAATTAATTTACAGCAGTACTGATGCACCGAGTCCTCATATTTAGACTTCTCTCTTTGCTGTTTTTTTGTAATTTAATGTAATTATTTTTGTTTACTTTGTTGTTGTTTTATTGCTCTCCATTAAATGATCAATAAAAATAGTTCTGGTCACAACAGCAGCTGTTTGTATCAGTTCACCAAAAATAATAAAAATAATAAAAAAAGATTTTTCTTCAAAACAAATAAAACTGTAAACTTTTAACGACAAAAATAGAAGCCGACAGTTCACGTTAGGAATTTATTGGCTTGTTGACTAAATGAAGGGCAGCATGGGAGGAGGAGCGGCTGCCATAAAGTAAAACGTTTTATTTTAATAACCTCTGAAGTACCTGTAATGCATTCAACATCACCACTTATCTTCATTTTTATAATTATGTAATTAAAATGAAATAAAGCAATGTTGTTACTAAGGCCAGGTGTGACGGTTGTGTTTCTGTACTGTTTGTTCTCAGTGAGGCGACGCCCAGGAAACTCAGCGAACACGTCCGTCAAGTATTTTAGTCTCTGATTGTTTGTTAGAGCGTCACTGACAGAAACCTGGAACTGGTTCATCCACAGCTGCGAACAAATACTCCTTTATTCTGAACAAACACAGTCAAAACAACATTTACCAAGTGAACCCACGACAGTCTGAGCAAAACTACCAAAACATCCATCAGGTCTATGATGTGGGGTCTACAGGTGGTCAGATCTATGATGTGAGGTCTACAGATGGTCAGGTCTATGATGTGAGGTCTCTACAGGTGGTCAGGTCTATGATGTGGGGTCTCTACAGGTGGTCAGGTATATGATGTGGTGTCTACAGGTGGTCAGGTATATGATGTGGGGTCTACAGGTGGTCAGATCTATGATGTGGGGTCTACAGGTGGTCAGGTCTATGATGTGGGGTCTACAGGTGATCAGATCTATGATGTGGGGTCTACAGGTGGTCAGGTCTATGATGTGGGGTCTACAGGTGGTCAGGTCTATGATGTGGGGTCTACAGGTGGTCAGGTCTATGATGTGGGCTCTGCAGGTGGTCAGGTCTATAATGTGGGGTCTCTGCAGGTGGTCAGGTCTATAATGTGTGGTCTACAGGTGGTCAGGTCTATGATGTGGGGTCTCTGCAGGTGGTCAGGTCTATAATGTGGGGTCTCTGCATGTGGTCAGGTCTATAATGTGTGGTCTACAGGTGGTCAGGTCTATGATGACACTATTGTTCGAAGTATGACTATGCTACCTGACTTTGGTAGCACCAAAGATCGAGTCCAGTGAGGATCTTTGGGATGTTCTGGAGAAGGTCAGACTCACCATCATCAATTCAAAATGTTGGTGAAGCATGAATGCAACACTGGATGGAAAAAAATCTTAACACTACAGAAGTTTATTGCAACAAAGCTAAAAGTGGTCCAACGAAATATCAGACGTTGACCATTTTGTTGGTGGCAACATTTATATTTGGCAAGGCAGTGTACTTTCTAGTACAGTGTACTTTCTAGCACATTGTACTTTCTAGCACGGTGTACTTTCTAGTACAGAAGTCCTGACAGTAAACTGACAGACCACTGGAGAGTTTAAGGAATTAGATCTTAATGATAAACATCCTAACATGAAAACATTACTCCTCATTAACACTGGTTTTACAGTTGTACACAGTTACAATGAAAAATTTTTCTAATTTAAATATCTTAAGCCAGCTGTTTTTCCTGTGTTTCATGAGGAAAATGTAAACAAACAAAAACAAAATAAATAGGAGGTCACTTCAAAATGTGGCAGTGTGACAGAGAAGTGGTTTGGAGCTGTTGCCTCAGAAGGTTGCAGGTTTGCATCCCGGTCTGGGACGTTTGTGTGGAGTTTACATGTTCTCTAAGCACGCGTGGGTTTCCTCCCACAGAAAACAAACATGCATGCTAGGTTCAGTGGTAACTTGTCACCAGTGAGTGAAAGTGTGAATGGTTGCTTGTTGTGTGTCCCTGTGATGGACAAGAGACCTGTCCACGGTGTCCCCACAGGTACCAGCTCCCCGTGATCCGCAAAGAAAGCAGAAGGATGGACCGATTCCAACATGTTTGAAGTTGTGTAATTTAAGAGTTAGAGGCCAGTCTGTAGGACCACCTGTCTTTGTGTTTTTGTTTTCAGGGTTTTATTGTCAGGCTGAAAACAAGCCTCTGAGTTTCCTTTAGTTCTCTCCTGGCCACCGGGATGTTAAAGTTCATTAAAACTTTAAATTTATCATCACATAACATCTGGAACTGTTCATTTGTTTCTAAATCTTTTGTAAAATGTGATCCTACTGTACCTATACCTAAACCTGGAGGTCCAGTTTCTTTAAAAACGCTTTATTTTTTAAACACCAAAGCTTCAACCAACATTTGTGATGAAGTGCTCAGGTTCTCTCAGGTCTTTGTTGGATTTTATTTTCTTAAAGACTTTAACTTTCAGGTTAATCTGCTGAAAATAGTTGTTTTTTTTTAAGTCTGCTGATGCTTTTGTCCACTTTCTTCAGAATGTTCAACAGCAACTACCATATCAGACACAATTTAAAACAATTTTTTATCTTTTTAACATTTAAATGATACACACTTCAGGTTTAAGAAGTTTAAACAAAACAAAAACTTCACATTATAATTATTACGACTGACTGTAAAATAAATGAAAAAGCAGTCAAGCCAAAAACTAACCTTCAAGATCAATTGCTCAAATAAACATAAAAAAAATCCTGGAAAATCTGGATTTCCAAGTAGAGTGAAGACACAGCTGTTGATCTTAAACTGCTAACTAATTATAGAGTTGAGTTACTTTTACAAGCACCGACAGGTGGTCCTGGATACAGGAAGTGGAGGGAACACCTGGGGGATCCAGCTGATTGCAGCGTCACTAAACAGGACGACCCTTTAAAGGCTCGACTGTTGTACAGTCAGTTCATGCTGCTGTCGTCTGTATCCTTGCAGCAAGTAAAACAGCTCGATCAGATCTGCTGCTTCTTCGTCATTTCTTGTGTCTTAATAATTAATTTATCCAAAGTTTAAATTTTGAGACTATGTTCCATTCTGTCTGAAATACATTTCTGTGCAAACCTGCTGGTTCGACAGAAACTAAAAGCTGCAGAGCAACTCTGAATCAGTCGATCTTTAAAGATCCAGCAGCGAATGGGATAAAACTCACAGCAGAAAGGTTCGTTTCAGAAATCAAACCCACCTCAGACTCCATCAGGCAGTCGTAGTTCATCAGGTCTGTGTGCTGCTGAAGTTGGACCAAAGCGTTGGGCTGCAGAGAGGATCAGTGTGAGCCGACAGCTCTGCAGCTCGTCACTGACAGGAGAGCAGGTGAGCTGGGTGAATACTGCAGGTGGAGCCGACAAACAGGTTCCAGCCTCTGAACTGACAACACACACACACACACACACACACACACACACACACACACACACATTTGTTTCTTGACCCCGTGGGGACCTTCCATTCTTTTTTTAGACTTTATAGGCTAACCCTGACAATTTATTCTAAAACTAACCTCACAGGTACCTACCTGACCCTAAACTAACCTCACAGGTACCTACCTGACCCTAAACTAACCTCACAGGTACCTACCTGACCCTAAACTAACCTCACAGGTACCTACCTACCTGACCCTAAAC